CCCCCCCCCCCAAAGAAAACAACACTCGGAACAACGAAGAAAGGAAAGTTACGTATACAGGGGAATGGACTACGTACTGCAAAATAATTTACCTTAATTAATTTTTTTACCAGAATACTTACCATTAAATATTGTACCTTTCTTTAGATCTGTCGTCAAAAGAGAACACAATATCTGCAATGCCCATGATTTGCTAGCATCTACCTGGAAAAAAGGAGAGAAAGAACAAAAGAGTTTTATACTTATTGTGCAATATCCTCAACTCCGTCGATCTCAGCTTTAAGTGGAATCCCATCAAGTGAGCTTATAATTTTTTTTTTCTTGCTCATTGAACGGTCCTTTTCCCACTTTCTGCGACCTCAACCTCTTCTCTCATCGTTGCTTTTAGAATCGAGAAGCGTCGACTGATGGATAGCAAGATGCGAACACTCTGGTTAATCTTCTAGAACAACGATCCGTTTGGCAGAATGCGTGTAGCGAAACTATTACTAGTTGCACAGCAGACAGGAGCGATAAATGGAGATATAAATACATACTCTAGTAGCATAATTCGTTGGTCTCATATTGGCATATATTGGGGGTACATTGAAAGAATGTTGTCCAATATGAAGCCAGTCGGATAGTTAAACGTACAGAAGTAGATTTTGTATAGTATCAGCTATAAATCTTTTCGACAGTTTACTAACAGAAATATTACAGAATTTTCTAGCAAAGCATGTTAATAGATTAATCTGTTATCATGCTCTGCTAGTGAATTGTGTTTTATTTCTGCTAGCAAACTGTCGAAAAAATTTACAGATGATACTATACAAAATCTACTTCTGTACATTTAACTATCTGACTGGCTTTATATTGGGCAACATTCTTTCAATGTACCCCCAATATATGCCAATATTGGACTAATGTGTCGCCAATAAATAGTGCTACTAGGGCATATTATATACCCAGACAGCACAATGTCTAAAACCGGGTCATAAGACGTCTTTAAAACATCTTTAAGACAAGTTTATAAAGTATTGTTTTAAAGATGTCTTAAAGTTGCCTTAAAGACGTCTTATGTCCCAGTTTTGGACATGTGTGCTGTCTGGGTATATAACATGTATTATTTATAATACTTATTTATAATATTATTTATAATATATAAACACATATACACATAATTTTCTGTAATATTAATTGATACAATACAGAAATTTTGATTGCAAATGTAATTTCCATGTTTTTGCATATATTAAATAAAGAAAGTAAACATTAAAATTTGTAAAATTTATTACCCTACTGCAAATTTTAAAAAACGCGGCATATAATAACAAATTTCTGCAGCAATTCTGTAATCACGTCGTGACGGCAAGATATGCTCTAAGTTTGCTCTGTTTTTGCTGTCACGTCGTGACGGCTCGATGTGCTCGAGTTTTGCTGCGCTTTTGCTGCCATTTCTTGGCGATATAATGTGCTTCAGTTTTGCCGTGTATTTGCTGTCACGTCATGACGGCATGATTTTCTCGAGTTTTGCTATGCTTTTGGCCTTATAATTTGCTCAAAGATCAACTCGAAATTTAACGACTTTTTGCTGTTTCACAGTTCCTTCTCAAACTATGTTTGACATGTGTCTGGTTTCTGTCGATTTATTTTGTCAGCATATGGTAGCTACATTTTGTTCCTTTTATGTTACAAAGCTATTCTCTAATTTTGCTGCACTATTGCTATCATTTGATGTTACACGTCGTTTTATGGTTTTTGTAAATTTTTGCTACCATAATTTGTAATGGCAGATCTTGTTGAAATAATGCCAGCATCTTGCAAACATTCTATGCACAGCATAATTTGTAAAACATGCTCTTGGCACATTTAGTTATCTGGGTAAATATTGTTGTAAGTATTACAACCTCAACTGTTTAAGTATATACTTTCTATTATTTCTGTAAAATAGATACCATAGGTGCACTACGTGTGTGCTATTTGGATTTTTTTACATTACAATAAATAAAACGCACAACCTGATTTATTAATCACGTTAGAATCTATCATTAGAGAATGTGTGAGACAGTTTCAAGCTGCACGTTGTTTGCAGTATCAATTAATTCATCAGCATCGCGCAAAGAAGGGTTAAAAATTTTCGATAATTTCGACAATAATCGACTTTGATTGATACACATTTTTTAGGAGCTCAAGAAGGTATGAATTCGATATATATTGCTTATTTTAAAATTACCGAAATGTTAAAACTTCTTTTCTGTAATGCTAATTGACTAATCTATGTAATTAACTTCCCAGTAAGCAAATTGAGCGCAGACTGCGTGCAGATTAGCAGCAAATTTGATAAAAAAAACCCACAGCAAAACTATGACCATCTATGTCTACATTAGGCTACGGTTGTGGCGACAGATCTTGCTGTCAGGCAATTGGTGCCAAATTTGCAACAAAAACCGCGCAAGGCTTACAGCACAGCAAGGTCTGCATGATTTCTGCCGCCAATCTGCCGTCAAATCGTTACAAGCTCTGCGCGGTTTTTGCTGCAAATTTACAGCAATTATCCGACAACAAGCTCTGCCGCATATCTGGCGGCAATTTGGCAGCAAGATTTGATATAACAATTCCTGCATCAAATTTGTTATCTATTTGCCATCTAAAGTTGATAGCAAGCTCTGATCGAAATCTGTTCGCGCAGGTTTGGCTATCTGGGTTCGTGCTGATTAGAAGTATTACACACACACAAACATACATCGTCTTATGACAGATTCTTACATTAATTCTAATATCTGGTTGTGTAGTAATTATTCAAATGTTTGTTAAAAAAGTTAAATAATGCGAGCGTAGCGCGTGTTTGTGATGTCTAGTCTATGTGCAAATTGTGTTAAGGCATTACTTAAAGCCTCTGAATTAAAGAACAGTGATACCAAGAACTCGTAATATTAGACTGTACTTTCGTACAATTATTGATATTATTATATATATTTTCATATTGTTGGACAACATATTTGAATAAGTGAACTTTTCGAAACAGCGATTATTTCAACGCTTTTATGTCTCTTGTGCTATTTATCACGTAATATTAAATTTTGATATTAGTAATAAAGTTACAAACTATTTTACAACGGTTACAAATTATATTAATCTTTTTATCTATCTTTTAGCGTCTGTTGAATCAGCTAGAAAAAATGCAGCTGATGCTAACTACCAAACAACTGACGAAGAATTATTAGGACGAGGCAACAGACAACGTGTTGCATGTTCTCGATATAACAGTGATGACGAAGGATACGAAAATTCTGAATCTCCTCGGAAATATAAGAGTATGACATTGTATTCTATCTATCTAGCCTATCTTACTATATTAGGGTCGATGTTTATAGTTTAATGTTATACTTGAAATCGTTTACTTAATCTTTAGATTGTTCGGAGGCTATGAAGTTAATGATACAAAATCTAAATAAAAGATGTACGAGTCCGATTCGATTATATGTGAAACGATTATATTTATCGGAATCAATTCGTAAATAACATTCCTTGGTCGGAATTGTGTATGCATCTCTAATCCGATCATGAAATTTCAATGGTTTAAATTATTAGATCTAACAATGAATACTAGTCTAAAGCCCATACCCTGAACTCTTATCGATTAGAGTATCTCTAAAAGATTGCTAAGCAAAGGCTTACAGGTCATTGTTACAGGCATGTTGTCCGATAAAAGAGTGTTTAGAATATAATATAAAACAACTGAATTTATATATTTCAATTTTGACTATTTATTAAATTGTTTTATTATTGCACTGCCACACATATGCTTTAGTCTTAATATATCATTGTAATGTACTTTTTGATGAAATAATCAAGAGCCTTATTATTTTCTAATGTTTTTGTTCAGTATTTTTATCGTCTTATAAAGCTGTTGGCAAAACAATAACTTTTGGCAAAATTAATATATCCTTAAAGCAAATTATATAAAAAAAGACCATTATATGACATATATTTTCTCATTCCGTACAAATATGTCGATTATTGGCCCTTGTAAAATTATTACAATTTCCTTAATAATTACAAAACGAGAAATGAATACAAATATTGAAATACTGAGCTAAATAACGTTTCTTTCTTCATCTACAAATGTAATATTGTGCATAATATTTGATATAAGTAGGCAAGTTATCTTGAAGAAGATACGATACTGATTTAATTAATATTGTGGCTTTAAAATAAAATTGATAATATTTTTTATAGGAAAACAGCCTCGGTCAAATAAGGTTTTATCACAAGTATCAGCATGCCCTCAGAATTTTGGTATCAATAATAACATAAGTACCATTGTGCAACAAAGTACAAGCGCACCCAAAGAAAAGACTATTTTACAGTATGGTGAGTTATTAAATATGATTTATTGTATTGTATAATTTTCAATTATTTGAATAATGACAATGAAACAATATTTTATAGAAAAAGAAAATGATCCAACTATGGCAGTGCAAAAAGAAAAACAATATTTTTCATTGCAAGATGTCCCAATTTTTTGTCCTGGAAAGTATGCATATGTTAAAAAATATAATACATATAATATTATAATATCTATTATATATTTCAGGATACAATGTAGTACCCGAAAATGTAGAAGACTTTAATATAAAAGGTATATATTTCTATTATTTATAATGTATTAAAGAGATATCGCATAATGATAATAAAATATTGCTTATATTGCAGACAGTATGAAACAACTTGAACAAAATATGCAACAAGTACTGCGTATGCAAGCTATATCGCAAATAAAATTACAAGAAATATGTCAACGTCTAGATAAACTTGAAAATGCTATCAAAAATCGTGCGTTAAACCTTCCTCAACAAAACGATGCGCTTATTGCACAATTTTTACCTCTCGCTAGTATAGATACAATAAAAGAATTTGAGTCGTTACTAAAAACAACAGAAGAGGCAGTTATGCAATTTTACGTTTATATATTTCGTTACCAATATTAAATGTATTATTACAAGATTTACAGAAGTATTAAATGTAACTTTACCCATTTTTAGAAAGAATTTCTGTCAAATAGTGGTGGACATAACCCAAAAGATAATATACAACGAAGTCTGAGGAAAACATTTACGAATGAATGTGCAATGCAATGTTCCTGGAAAAGACTCAGAAACAATTTTCGAGTTGCCGACTTACAAGTAACACTACCCAAATGTAAATCACCGATTTTGATAATTTTTGAATATGTTGTAGTAGACGTAAAAATAAGACATACGTATTTTTTTTTATCGGCGGAAAACCATATTTACACCCCTTTGGATTTATGGGTATCGATTTAATTGTTTTGTATGTATGGATTTAGTATTTTCGGCCCGAACCAAATAAAATAGTTGCATCATCAAGAGATATGAAAAATGAAAAATTTTCGACTCGGTTCGATCATTTTTAAGGGGTAAACCACCCCCTGTATTTGAAACAAAAATTTAAAAAAATGCCCAGATAATTGCAAATTTTATTCAAAAATTTTGAAAAAAATATATGTTACACTCGCATCCAAAACAAAAGTGAGACTGTTTGAGGATTTAAGGGTGACCACCCTTTTATCGAATTTCTTACGTAACATTTAAATTTATCCCGAAATAATGGTAAACAGTTTCATTTATCGTCAAATTAATTAATATTAACAAATTAGACTGATCAACCCTTCAATTCTATAAGGGGGTGAGGGAAAACCTACCCTTAA